AAATAGCGGAGATCCAGGGATGGGACCGTTGTCATTGTTAAGAACAATTTGTTTATTTTTATAAATGTATAAACTTTCAAAACTGTTTAGTAAACGATTATTCCTAACTTCTTTAACTAACTTAAGGTTATTAATATTAATATTATGTCCATCAGTAAGAATATGTTGGGCAACACTAGATTTTTCTTCTCTACCAAACCTAGCATGAGCTAGATGTTCTTTAAATCTGGTTTTGATTGAACGTCTAGTTTGTCCAATATATTTTTTACTACAGTCATTACAACTAATTTCATATATCCCCGACTTTTCTAAGAATGGAATTTTATCCTTAGGGTTACCAAGGAGAGTTTGAATGGAGTTGCCATTTGAACTGTAAGCAATCCGTAAACCAAGTTTTCGAAAAATACCCTCGAGTCCGCGAGTAAATCTTGGCTCGTATGGCATAGTAATAAACTTGGTTTTATTAGCATCTGTTTGAAAAGTCGTAGATCTTGAAATAAAATTCCTAAATTTTATCTTATTAATTAATTTATCAATAATGTTACAATTGTAACCATTGTCTTTTGCAATTTTCTTAATTGTACAGAGTTCCTTATTATATCTATTTTTACTAAGAGGGAAGCTAAGTAATCTGTGTACAAGGAAGTTAAAACTAGCCATTTTATGTTGAACACAATGATTAGAGTCGTTGGGTATATATCTAGAGGTATTAGTGGGTTTTCTGTAGATGTCGAATTCTAAAGAATTCCCATTTCTTATAACCAACGTATCTAAAAATGGTAATTTGCCATCTTTTTCCATTTCTACAGTAAATTTAACCGAAGGGAAACGTGAATTTAAAACATCAAGAAAGTCTTGAAGACTTCTGGAACTTAAATCGAAGATAGCTGTTTGTTCTTTTTTAAGAAACATAACCTACACATGTCTATATTGCAACGTTATTAGACGCAACTCATCGACATTAATCAATCACCGAAATATTTATCCTTTATGTGCTTATATGCATTTTCTTGTGACCTAGCCTAGCAACCCTCGACCGTCGACCCCCATCGATCGCCAGATCTGTCGCTCGACGATTTTATGAGTTAGATCCCATAAGAACGAGCCAAGTTTTATTTTCAATACTAAAATTAAAATGTATACCTGTTAAGAAAATATTAATCATAATGTGGCAGATAGAAGACGTTTATACAATGCAAGTGAATTTTATATATTTTTGTCAATTTCTACATTTTTAATGACCTTGTTACCTTTCAACATCTGATTCCTATTTGGATTTGTTTGGTACAATAGGCGACGTCGTTAACACTCGCTTCCACCCATAAAAATATGAGATTTCTAGCTAACGAGAATGATAAAAGGAAAACCCAGGTTGCTGAAAGTGTCTTATCTAAAGAAATAAGAATTTCATACAATAATATTTTACTTTGTACTAAAATTTTAATGACAAAGCATTGCAATTTCCAAAAATGTAGGCCTATCCAATTATTATTTAATTTTTTGATAAGAAGTTCATACTGTTTTACATTAGAGAATTTACACTATATAAAATAAAACTATCACAGCAGGAATTTTGCTTCCACGATATTTTAGTCTTTAAACCATATAATAAGTGCTAAAAGTAGTGGCACTAAACGATTTCGTAAATGATCAGCATCACACTCGAGAAATAGCTATATAAAGTTCAGTGAAATATTGACAATTCACGAGAACTTTATTTACGTTGCTTATAAAATTTTCACTCATTCATCTGGCTTGCCGGCAAAGAAATATCTATCTCTCAGGGCAAAATTTTATTTTCGTTGCGATATAGGATCTCAGTTGCCGAAGAGGAACATGAAAAATTGATTTTATATCCATTAAAAGCTAAGATCAGACGATGTAGCTCACTTTCTATCTATTGGGAGTACGATGGGAAAGCAATGTCATCTACAATACCCATTGCCGTATCTTTAGCTCTACTTCAGATACAAAATCTCCAATGCAAATGTAATTACAATTCTTCCATGACAGTGTGCAAAACTAAACATTAAAGTAACTATCTGAAGAAGAAAGTTGTGTGAAGTCGTGGGACGAAGTTTCTTTTGCTTTTCGATAAATATTCATTGTAAATTTTGTATTTTGTAAAAAAAAGAAACTGACAAACATCTAACCAGTGTATTCCATAACTAATATCTACTCACAATATTTCGAAATTACATTTTAAGACTAAGTGCTTGTTGCTACTAACACGCTAGTTTCTAAAGATTATTGAAATGATTCCCGCTGAATATATTCGTCAAATGGCAGACTAATCTACCTTGTCAGCAGATCATAATGAACTTAATGTCAACTCATCTTCTCTGTTATAGTTATGTGAACGCTTCTAATCTCGATTACGACCTCCCGTGAAACGTGTTCGGTAACCACCATTATTTTTCAGGCTGACATGGACATACACATCTTTAGTGGCCCAGTGGCACGACTTAGAGGTGTAGACCATTGCTTAGCATTCGGGAGATCGCCGGTTTAATTCCAAGTCCGTCTGCCTTGGTCCAAGTTTGACTTAGGCAAATGCTGGGGCAGTAATATTCTACAGATATTCTTTCCTTTTCTTCTGTCATCATTTCATCCATCTCATCTTTTTCACTCGAACCACCATCTACCCATTTCCACGATTCCTGAAAGGAGACTGAAAAAGGCTTTCCGGTCTACCTTCCAGCGTAGTCCGGAGGGACTGCCCGCCCATTAGCATTACTGAGTGGTGGGAATAAAACACCCAAATGGTTTTGTTTTTATCTGTCGTGTTCTATCTTCTTCACTTTAACACTGCGTTTATCCCTCGTAAGCCCTTCCACATTCATAGAGCATCTCACAGATACCAACCGAACTCAGAAGGTCGAGTTTATCCTACACCGGTTTCAACTTTTCTTGTGTCCTCGAGGTAGCCGCGAAGATAGTTTTTACTCTACGTTCCAATTCTCTCTCCTTTCCTGTGGGCAGTTGCATAATCTTGTGGCGTGGAATTCTGATCCTTTTCCTTATGTGACATCTTCACAACCTGTCTGATCTCCCTCCTATCGTAGCCGTTAGCTGTAAGCAGCTTCTGCAAATGTTGAATGTGATATTGTCCATGGCTATGTTGACAAATGTACTTAGCGCGATGTACCAGAGTTTTTATGATGCTCCTCTTCGGTCGTGAATGGTGGTATTGGGGTTGGATCCAAAATATCTGACGGTAATATTCTAGGGACCAACCCACGATCGATATGCATTCGTGCGTATCGCCTACGCCGTACTTTTCTCTATATTAACGGACAAGACCTGTTTGGATGCGTTTTCTTGAGGTAACGGTTTGACTGAGCAATCCATCCTGTCTTTGTACGGAACTTGAAGGAGAGGAAGACATCTGTCTTCTTCTGGCTCCATACTGAACTTAATGCTTTTATGACGGCCGTGAAGTTCATCTATAGAGGAGCACAGTAAGGAGCCAAAAGACGAAGAAATCATCCATATAGCGCAGATAGATGGTCGGATGCAAGGGGGTTATAGCGAGAGTGTATTGTTCAAGGTTATTTAGAAAAAGGTTGACAATAACTGGGATGAGGGGATAGAATAATTACCGTTGGTTCTAATTATGAGCTGGTGTAAGAATTAATTTGTGTATTTTCATAGTTTTCATTTGATTTCACCGTATTACTACATTTCTTTGCTGTTGCGTCTTTCGAAATTTCTATCCCTCTTTCAGATTCACTGCATGAACCGTGAAAGAACGCGTGTAAGTAACAAAGGACGAGGGCACATCTAGATTAGGTGGACGATTGCAAAAAGTAGGAAGCAGTCTATTAGAAAGCACGTATTCGACCGATGTGAGCAATCGATATAACAAGTTTTTGCTCGCTGTCCCTAATCTGCTAAGAAGTAGGTTAATGCGGGAATTTTTTTTTGCTTTAGGCCAGCCTGTAAGCCACAGTTTAGGCATCGGAATCGGTTCAACGAACCCTTTAATAAATCGCAGGAATCCTCTGATCGATGGTCGTATGCATTATCCCGATTAAAATGAATAATAATCCGAATAGCTTTCCGTTGAAAGTTATCCCGAGAGTTATGAGCTGACATCATAACTTATTTCAAAGATAACATAACGCATATGACGCTGATAAGGGTGGACCATTATTCATCCTTATTTATTTAATCGATTCTATAGAAGCACATTTTTGTTTAGGTGTTTTTCTCTATGATTAAGTCAACGTGCACAATATTTCCTAAAGGAACCTCTTGAACATTAATAAATCCACAACTAATATAGGAAATCTCTACAGATAGATGCAGCAGGCTCAGGTTGGGCGCTATTTTGTCGAAACTGTCTATGGTGAGCTGATGGGAACCAATAAGTTTGAAATTGCCTACACTTTATATTTGAACCAAATTCAATGAAACTGCAAACATAGAAACGTATCTGGTTGGCATCGGTAGCATGAGTTAAAGTTAAAGTTTGACTCTGTTCAGTTCGATTACCTAGGCATTCCACGTAACTCAAAGCAATTTCTAAAAGTTTGCTCAATGTTCCGCTAAAATGTAATATTACTAGTTTCATGTTTGCAGCTCATAAACCATAATTTCTATAGAGTTATATTGCATGATGTAATACATCCAATTTCTCCGCGATATACAAAATATAATCCAGCACAATGGACACGTCTTACATGCGAACACCTGCAAGACGTAGAATATTATTTCTCAAACATGTACGAAGAGAATATTATCCATGTAATCTAAATATTCTAGTAAATTAAGGTACCTATAGTAAAATAATTTACTGGAAAAGAAAATTTTAAGTAGGTATTCTTATATGATAATAATAACATACCAAAGACCCAAAATACTGAACAGAAACAAATAGACGAAATCCAAAAATTTAAATATCAAAAAACAGAGTCCGGTATTCCTTTGTTGTCCTCATTTTTTACTGTATCAAAACATTCTACACCTCCTTTTCATGGTGGTATTTATTGTTCCAGATTGCAGCTACTAATACTTCTGGGACTACCAGATCCTTGGCTAAATCCACAACAATATTGACCCATTTCAAAGGTAAGTTTTTGTTTTTGCATAATATCTAATTTATGTTATTGCACGTGTTTCCAAATTAATTACTCTTAGTTACTACTAGACTTTTACCAGACAAGAGCCAATTCTGTGGATGTTCATGTTAATGATTAAAATGTCTTAATGAGTTAAATATATTTAATATTGTAATAAATTTATCAGTACCGAAACTTTTCTTCGTTATTTCCACATAATATAATAAAATGAGAATGCGTTAAACGAAAAGGGTTAAATTATAACGCGCGTGCCTCTCTACTTTTCACTAGTGGAATGCGCGGGGTGTGAGGAGTTCCGTTTCCACCAGCCATACGTATCGAATATGTATTGATTAGTGCAAATTCGATCTCCCACGTCATTTTTTATTTCTGTTCTAAGTTTAATTGCCTCACCGTCAAGTCTTGTCGTTTGCATTTTGTTCTCGTAATAGCTCCTTTTGTTGTGCATTCTTTATAAATTGTATAATTTTAATTAGTATCCTTTTGTAGATTCCCAAAAAGCTAAAGGACCGGCTTGTAAAATTATAATTTCTTTTGTATAAACATGTCTTTAATTTTCTATAGCTGTTTGTATTGCAGCTAACTAATTATGAATGAATCCCAGCTACCTTGTACGAATTATTCTAGCGACTGAAAATTAAGTTGAACTGACGGGATTCTTTTGTCACTAAAAGAAAAACAGAAACGCTGTCGAGGAAGCTTTTCTCTAGCCCCGTTAACTCCGCATTTTAAATAACAAGTGATACCGCGCGCCACACCCTTTTGTAGATACTTTATTCTTCAGCTACGTTAATTTAAATTTCAGTTCGTGCTTTTGTAGACCGTAAAATGCCTCCTCAACCGACACACAAATGAGGTTACTGTTAAGGTAAATATTGTCGGTTAGGGAAAAAGCCGGGAGCGTATGAGTTTCGAATTACACTTTGAATTTATGTATTTTAAAAAGGCTGAAGAATTTGATGAAGTACCTTCTTTTAGGTTATGTTTATGTATGTAACGCATGAAAAACGCAATGATTATAAGTTTGTACCAAAAACATATCGAGGAAGTGTTTGATTATGGCCATCTTGTGGTTGGTTAAGAAATTATTTCTAGCATAACCACCATTTTTATCTGGAATCACGTTGGTACATATGACACGGAGAGGAGGGTTAAAATATTCAGGAATAGATTAATATTGCACAAAAAGTAAAAAGTATTATATCAGACTTAAGTTGTTTAGTGTTTTCTAACGACTTCAAAGAAAGAAGGTTCTCAGTTGGACTGTAGCTTCTTTTGTGTGTATGCAACACGATATTTTCGTCAGTTGTAATTAATTGACTGTTTCTTATTGGATAGGTAATATCTCAAGGGTAGTCCCGTATAAATTTGGAAAACATTCCATCTCTAAGGATGGAAAATTGGGAAATGATGAAAAAACTACTTGAAGAGATTACATAACCTCTAATCTCTCTCATTTGTGTAGTCCTATTTTGATTTATTGACTTTCTAGTTAGTATGAAACGTCTTTTATTATTATAAAAATGGCATTTGAAGATTACACAATTGGAATCGAACTGTTGTTTTACGAATACATATCTACCGCCGTATGTATTCGCACATATATGTACATATATATGGGACATGGGACGTGAGTGTATATATAAGTAATGAAATTAGTTAGCTGCTGTAACACAAACGGTTGATTAAGTAAACATCGATGGAGTGACGTTCCATATCCCTTCTAGTTAACGACTCCACTTCCAACCAAACATTTATTCGAAAGCTCCACATCGACATTGGTATAACTTTTACGCAACACACGTATGCCGTTAATTGATTAAGCCGGTACCTACCTGCGTGTGTTTGGAGTCTATTCGAATATGCAGGATGAAGATTTATGCTGTAGAATTATGGAGGAATTGTACGGACTAATTCAGAAAGTGATGGCATCAGGGTAGTCAAATAAGGTGAACGTAAGTCATGTCATGTTTTTGATATGGTGTATTCCACTTAAAAACCAAATACAGGTTGCGCCATGATAAATTCCATGATTTGGGAAGTAAAAATCAGCTTTAAATAGTACATTACTTTAATGGCGACATATAATATTGATACATTGATTGAACCTCTCCTAGAAGTTCTCCATGTGTTTCAACTTGGGCGGAATTGTATAAACTTCGTGGACTAGCGTCTCTTTAAGGCATTCCAAAGTTTGGGGGTGATGTTGGTTTATGATGGCTTTGAGGTAGTTTCAGAGAAAGAAATCGTATGGTGTTAAATCTGACGCTTTTGCATAATTCTGTTAAAGCTACACATGCATTTGTCCATTCTCTACGACAAGATACCCAAATTTAGCAAATCGCTAGTTCCAATAAACTCCTTAGCATAGTTGTGCATCTGCTATCGATAGACTCATCATTGCCTTTCTCCCATTATTATCTATGAGCTCCCTAAATCGGGATGTCCTCTATGCCGAACCCTGAGTATGCATGGATGGAAGCGGTAAGGAATGAGAAGGTACTAGAAAGAGCAAATGAAAAAAGGGCGTTATGGAAGTCATCAAGGGAAAAGAGGGATAGCTGGATATGGATTTTCTAACTCATGAGGAGTTAGTTAGAGATAAATTGGAAGGAGAACGGAAGTGAATAGGAGCAGAGATAGACATAGACAAGATTACCGTTCATAAATGGTTAGGGATGGTGTAGTGTTAGGGAAATGCAAAGATTGAAGATTTGTGTAGGTTTGGAGGCGTATGTCCCGTATTCAACCGGATTGACGATCACAAGTTGATGAAGATACAAAACATGAGTCCATCTAAGAATATCTGTCAATCCAAAGATTTTGAATACAGTATACAGAATTTTGATGTAAAGGAAAATCTATTACTGATTTAGTACTGAAAAGAATCAGTAAATTCTGTTGTTCTTTTTTCCTTTCGATGCTATAGACTTTGCATAGCAAGCCATTGTAAAAAATTTTAGCAGTCCGTTCGCTGTCCGCATCGAATTTGTGCCTTACGGCACAATCCGTCGCTGTATAAATATGGGATAAAACTTCAATACAAGGAAAACTTCAGCGCTGCGTGGAACGCACAGCAAGAAATCTGCTGGCAACCAGCCAATTTTCGATTACCCAGTGTCTGAGATATTATTCTACTGTTTCTCCTGTAAAAGAAATTCATTTTTGTTAACGAAAAATAACAAATGCGCTTAGTTAACTAGTACGAAAATTATTCATCCTTACTTTCCTATTGATTGACAAATGAATTATGGGAATAAAAAGTGTAGATGGAATAAGAATCTACAAATTTTTTTTTCAAAAAAAAAAATTACTTTAAAAGTTATGGAAAAAAAACTTGAAAATGAGCCATTTTTGAACAAATTCACTGCAATCTGCTTGCTTCCACTGCTGACCAATAGCTTAAAGTCTCTTCTCGATCAGAGTTCTGATTTCCTTGACGCCACTGCCCACCACTAATCTTTCCGAGACCCTAGCTGTGTGCTCTACCTGCCATCATTATCCTAAATCTGACGATTCTTGATTAATATGGAGGGTGCTGCGCATGCCAGACATCATCATCACAAAGTCGTCAGTCCTAAGACTGGTTGGATACGCTCCTCCACTATTTCCTCCCCTGTGCTAATCTTCGCATTTCACTAAAACTAGAAGATCCAACATCCTTGACTATTTGGGAACAGTAATTTAATCTAGGTCTATCCTTATTCCCCTTAACTCCTGTTTCTGCCTCTAATATGTCTCAGACTATGCCTTCATGCCTGAGAAGGTATCCTACCAATCTCCCATCTCGCCGATTTTATGTTGGCTTCCATAAAGTTTTCTGTTCTCCTATTATTTCTAATACCTCTTCATTTCTAACCTCCTCTATTCACTGTATCAGCAAACAGAATTTCAATGGAATCCGTCAACTTCCTTATTCCGATAACTCCAACATAGAAATTCATTAATCCTGGTATGAAGTGCGACTTTGAATTTGTTGAAACTCCTTGGGAAGAAGATCTCATCTACCAGAAAGCCCCGAGAACATACAACTACAAAATGTTCTAAACTTATGTAGTTTAGATTGAACAAATTTATGGTTTTGAGGTGATCATTTCATGGTTTTTCTCTCCATTTTCATAAATTTCCTCTTTATATCATCAGAAACGCGTATCCATTTGTTCCGTAAAAGCAGCGCCTTCAATTTCGCAATGAGAACAATTTAGTTGCCGTTACCTTGCAGGCGGTTTTGTCAGAGCTAAAAGTTTGTCGTTCCGCAATTTCATTTGCTCTTCGAACACGACGAAGAAAGAAAAAAATAGAAGAGAAGGAAAACGCTTATATATTGTAACATATATCATGCTGTTTTGGCGAGATGACAGACATTAAGAAAGGCGGCTGCGGTAAAAGTAAGAAAATGACAAATGACTGTATCTCCAATTTCGTCAGTCACATTTTGCAAGAAAATGGTGAAGGAAACGTGGCGGCATTCTGACACCTCAGAAAAAAATGGCACAATAAAATAAATTTCGGAAATGGCCGTTAGTGTATGTCGCATATCCCTTGTATTTTTGTTTTCTCATAGTAGAAACCACAGCAAAATAAAAAAATGTTTGCCATCCGTTTCAGATCATTTCTTGAACACCTACACTTTAGTGCTAAACGAGAGGGTAGTGCAGAAGACGTTCTTTAGTTTTTGTTTTAGGAATCAGAGACATCAGCTGGAAAAAATTGGATGATAAGAACGAAATGAAGACAGATGAGAAATGAAAGGTTATCTGAGGAATATTCGTACCCCAGTGTATGCCTAAATGATCCGAGGTCACCACAGAAGAACATGGACTGGGTCAGAGGAACCCGGATTAGAACCAATATACTTTGATCTTACCCTAATGCAAAAAAAGCAGCATGTTACTTAGTTTTAGGCGTGGTTCAGATTATTAGCGTGTTGTGATATGTGATATGATCTACATCGGAGTACGGAATAAGAAGAAGCTTCGTATGTTGTGT